CAACAATCGTAGACACAATAACTCGTTCTTTCGACTCCCGTACAAAATTCCCTTGATCCCTCCTATCTTCTTATTTCACTCGCCACTGTCCAGCATACATTCGTGGCTGCGAGCTTGACTTCATGGTTTAATGGGCCATGGTCAGTCTGTATGCCCTCAGTCGGACCACTGACGGCCTCTGCGTAGTCGCGCGTACGTCCCGCGGGATTGAAGGCTGACTCAAACACAAGACATTGCGTTCTCATGATGTAAACAATACGTGATCCCGGGTAATCGCAATCCTCATAGACGGATCTGCGTCTGCCGCAGCAACGGGGTCTCAGTGCGAGCACACCTTGCTCAACCCCAACCAACCAACTCCGTTAATTTGCCCAGATATGCTAAACGACCAACCGGCTGTGTAAAGAAGCCCCACTTTACCTATGAACCGCGGGGCATACATCTAGCTACCCCTCATCGCTTTCATACCCGTCACGAATCAGTCATGGTGATTCTATGTTGACCTGTGGGGAACCTGCAAAAACCAGTACGCAATTGGCACAGAATATGTACCTATACAGAGAGTGCTGGCTTAAGGGTTCATAAAGACGAATTTTCCCGTCAGACGTGTCTAGGTAGGTCATCCGTCATGGCATCTTCTCTGGATCTGATCAACCAAGCTCCCAGTGTATGTAATCACGAATAACTGAGAATAACATGCGACTGACAGTCAAAACCAGGGAACCAAGCTATGGGTACATCACTCCACAGGCCCCATTCCAACTACGCCATCCTAACATTACACACATCAGGTCTTGAACCTGGGCACATTAGAATGTGACGACGGGTGGTTTATCCGAGCAGCAAACGCGTCCTCATCGTCAAACCCAAACCCGACCAACAAACGCCGTAAACTGGTCATGCTTGGCATCCTTATCCAGCACCCAACCGAGGGCCTCATCCTCTACGAGACCGGCGCGGGGGAAAACTACCCCGAAGACGTCGGTCCACCAATCCAAGACATCTTCACCCGAATCGATCACGACGCGTCTAAGAATCTAGACGCGCAAATTGCCTTGACCGGCCACAGCATCAATGATGTGAAGATGGTTATAATAGGCCACCTTCATCTCGATCACTCTGGTGGCTTAGAACATTTCCAAGGAAGAGACGTACCCGTCTACGTCCACGAACTCGAAATCAAACACGCCTTTTACAGCGTCGCCACCAAGACAGATCTAGGGGTCTACCTTCCCCACTACCTCACCTTCGACATAAACTGGGTCCCCTTCCACGGGTCGTACTACGAGATCGCCCCTGGAATCAATCTACATCATGCACCTGGACACACCCCCGGACTGACCATCATGCAGGTGAATTTGAAAGAGAGTGGGACGTGGATCTTTACGAGTGATCAGTATCATGTCAAGGAGAATTATGCGGATGGCGTGCCGCAGGGGTGGTTGGCGAGAGATCACGATGCGTGGGTCAGGAGTCATCAGATGATTAAGGGGTTGCAGAAGAGGACGCATGCGAAGGTCGTGCTGGGGCACTGTTGGGATACGATTAGGGAGTTGGATGTCGAGTTTGCGCCTAGGGCTTATGAGTGAGTAGTGCGCAAGAGAAGCCACGGTGTGTTTAAGTTGGCTTGGGAAATGAGACAGATGTAGAGGTACGAATCTGGTGTTGGATCTGGCAAGGGAATAGAATGGGAAAGCGCGATGTCGATCGATGTAGGAATGAGGATGGCGCATACATAGTGTGGTGAAACTGGTGCGATGCCACTCAGGCATTGCGTGTGAAGAATTCATGCAACGAGAGGGTGTGGCTGGGATAACTACGAAAGGTAGCACAAAAACGAGTGGAATAAAAACGACAAGCAGCATCCGCTATTTCTATTCTGCGCATTGCATCACATTTCTGCGGGCATTGGGAGGCCTCGTGCGCGATTCCTCTTTTTGGGTTTAGCGTGCGGCTTTTCCGGCTCTTCATCATGTTCTTATCCGAGCTCTTAACTTCTGACTCCACTTCCTGAACCTGAGCAAGGAGCCAAGAACGACGAACCGCGAAGCTTCAGCCATGAACGAGAACAATCCTCCTCGAACGGCTTCTGCCGACGTGGAGCCGAAGCATGCATCGACTGCTAGATGGACACCCGCCAACGGCATCGAAGCAGTCACGACTGTGACCCCGGCAAGCGCAAGTTCGGATGAACCGAGATCACCACCTGCAAAGAGAAGGAGAGAGGAGCGTGAGAGGAGTAGGGTCAGTAGAGCTTGCGACCGATGTAAGAAGTGAGCTTGTGGAAATTTGGGCGCACATGCGGTGCTGCATAGATTCTATGGATGCGCTAACGCTCAGAGCAGGAAAAAGGTTAGATGTACCGGAAGATGCCCTTGTGCGCTCTGTCTGCGATCTGGGTTGCCGTGCGAGTTTACTGCGTCGTATACTCGAGGAAGACTGCCTTCTGTCATTGTCGACGATCCCGCGATAGCCTCAGATGCACTAGCCTCAAGACGGAAAGAGAGCTTAGCCTCTGGGACGTCTGCGAAAGAAGAGACTGCGATATCGACAACACAGTTCCCACGCATTTATCCTAGTCCTCTGACTCCTATCGACCCGCAGAGTTATTCGAATCCTGAAAACTCCGAATCAAACGCTCTAGGCATGGCTACAGACCAGATCAATCGCCCTTCCTCGCGAGATTCTCCGGTACCTCAGGGCGCCCAACGAGATCAAGAAGGCCACTATGTTGGCTCTTCAAGCGCAGCATCGTTTCTCATCCGTATTCAGAAGCGTCTGCACACGAATTCCTCCTTGTCGCATGACTCTACCATCTTCACCTTTGGCGACGCTCCCCTCCCTGAGTTTGATCTTTCCATCTTCGTTCCACCACCAAAGCCTGATGCGCAGAGGCTTGTGGAGCGATATTTCGACTATGCAGCACCGACTCATCGCTTTCTTCATCGACCAACGATTGAACAGCTTGTCGAGGAGTTCTATGACACCCAAGGCGAGATGAGAAGTAAAGAAGATGGCAAAGCAAAAGTTGCATTGTTGATGGTAGTCTTTGCGCAAGCACAAGCATATATGCCACTCGGCAGTACGGTGCAGACTAGCAGGTTTGTCGACGCTGCCGCTGTTGTAGGCTCTGCTAATGTCGAATAGCGCTCGATACTTCCGCGCAGCCGAAGCGCAACTATTGCAAGAACGCGGCGCCGTAAGGCTAGCGAGCGTTCAGGCACGACTGCTGCAATGTTTCTACCTCCTGACACAATCCCGTATCAACCACTGCTGGAGTCTCTTCGGCGAACTCTCGCATCTCGCCTTCGCTATCGGCCTGAATCGTGGAAGGAAATGCGATCCTTCGACCAAGGTGGACTATGTAGAGATCGAGAGCCGAAGACGCCTATTTTGGGTGGCATACTCACTAGACAAGTACCTCGCCGCTGCTCTAGGTCGTCCACGGACTTTCAAGGACGAGGATATCGATCAAGTAAGTGTATCTGGCGTCATCAAAGTTGGGGATCACTAACACAATGGGTCCAGGAGCTGCCTACCATCGTCAACGACAACGATCTCCAACCGAACTACATCAACCTACCCTCGCGGCTTACTTATTCCCTAATGACAGCCCCTGTTGAGCACATTAAATTGACACGCATCGTGTCTCTCGTGCTACGAGACCTTTACTCAATTCGCCCGCCCAGTCTGGCCTTGCGCATCGAGCTGTCGTCGAAATATACATCAGAACTGCACGCGTGGAAGAATTCCCTGTCAGGATTTCTTTCCGGTTCGACCTCGATAGACCGTATCGACAACCAGTTGCTCATACCAGTCTACCAGCGTCAGCGTTCGGTGCTCAATCTGGCGTACCACCATGCGCTGTTGCTCATCCACCGACCCTTCTTACTGCGAGACTTCGCGAGTCTGACCCATATGGGCACCCATCCCAACTGGAGCGCCGGACTCAGCACAACGTATGACGCATCGGCAAACATCACCGCTTGCCTCGAAGCTGCCATGTCTATTGTACGCTCGGTAGATGACGTGTTCAAGGCGTCTAACCTCTTCCGCTCTTTTTGGTTCACCCAGTACTACGCCTTCTGTGCGGTGGTAGTGCTATACATCCATCGCATTCAGCAGGGCTTGGGTGTGAAGACCAAAGTAGAATGCGAGGGATATTTCGAGGCTGGTGTCAAATGTCAGAGGCAACTGGAGACAGTTAGTGATACCGACTGCCTTGCGCATCGTTATTGTGTCGTGTTGGAAGAGCTTAGGACTGAGGCAGTACGCCAGTCAGGCAGATTATCGACGCCAGTAGCCGACAATGCCAGCTTCCAGGACACATCGCTCCTCTCGTTACCAATGTCGGCTCCAAACCCCGATTCCGTCGCGCCTGCGGCGAATCTGCCACCCCTGATGTACAGCAGCAACAACAGTAACATCGACATCTCCGATAGCGCAGCAGTATTCAACAACACTAATAACAACGCGACTAACCCTACGTTCTCGTTCGATCTACTCGACTGGTCCGACTTCGCTAGCTGGGGACAGTTCGAGGGCCTTGTGACGGCCGGCAATGGCTCCTTCGATCCGGTAACGCAGAGCGAGAATGACTTCTGGTTTGGGTCTTGAGCGGGCAACAAGAAAAAAGCCGAACAGGCCTACAGCCTACATCAACATGGCAGAATACAAGATATGTGACCTAGCGTTGATTTAGGCTCTAGACCTGCCCAGGTGTTCAGCCTGGAACGACGCTCATACAAAGAGTAAAAGCATAATGATAATTGTCTTCATTCAATCGTGTAAGAAACGCCATGATGCGTCCAGTGGGTATCTCGAAAAGGAAAACAGGCTCTACTATGCATACCCATGACCGTAAAACCATCTCAACATGCCGAAGTCGTCATACAAGATGGTTCGATTGAAGTGATTGTACTATTTCTTGAAGCTTTTATAACAAAACTTCAAGAGAAAATACAATCACTCCAATCAAACCATCTTGTATAACGTACTGCTTACCGCCTCAAAAGTCTCTGCCACCTTGACCTAGACGGCTGATCTGACTGCTGCACGGCCGTATCCGCCGGACCCGCAGCCGCAGCCGCAGCATCATTCGCATCCTCACTCTGCTCCCCCGTCTGAGGCGTACGATCCTGCAACTCCACTGCAGGTTGAGCCTGCGCTTGAGCCTGAGCATTCGTCCTCGCCTCAACAGCCTGCTGTCTCCTGATCCCACTCCCATGCAAGAAGTACTGCCAATTACTCATAGGCAGCGGTGCCGGTGTCTGATTCGCAGTCCCCGCTTCCAACGCCGCAGGCGTCGCATCGCCGCCTAGCGCTATCCTCTCTTCCTCGTCGTGCTGATCGAGCGCTTCTTTGCTCATGTACATGGAGCGGCAGATCGGACAGCTGGTCTTGCGGAGGACGAACCAGGAGACGAGGCAGTCGGCGTGGAATTCGTGGCCGCAGACGAGGAGCTTGAGGATGGTCTCGGAGTCGGGGGTGGTGGTGGGTGTTTGGTCGGCGGCATCGGAGGATGAGGGTGAGGTTGAGGGGTCTGTGGATTGGGGGAGCGAGGCGGGTAGGGCCGCGGCGTCGGTTATGGGTGTTTCTGGGGAGAGTTTGGCGGGCTCGGGAGGGGCGGGGGCATGGAGGGTTGAGAGACATATCGCGCTGTAAGGGATGTTAGTATTAAAGGCGGAATGAGTGTTCTTGTGCTTTCAAACATACCATTCTCGTTCGAGCACCGAACGTGTCTCTACTACCCCGAGAGCTCCCTCATTGTCGTCGTCCGCGCCATCACGATGTTGCGATGATGAGGATCCAGCAAGACTGACAACCTCGGTGACTTCATTCAACTTCTCCCTTGCTTCTGCACGCCTAAGCGCAGGCTTCTTTGCCTTTGGTAGTGGGCGGCGCACTGGAACAGGGACAGCTTGTCGTTTTCTCCGAATGCAGAATATACACAAACTATATCAATAACAATTAGCTCAATTGTTTCACCAGCCATCCTAGTCTCATAGACCCCATCCATTTCAAGAGTCCAAGTAGAATTCCGAACAAAACTTACAAAGGCGCCACAATAGCAACAACAAACACAGGAATCAAAAAACTAAACGCCGTAGGCGTCATCCCAGACTGGCCAACGGTATCGCGCCATTCGCGCGCTTCCAGACTGCGAACAAAACCGTGGCTCGAAACCGCAGGCATTGTTGTTTCCAAACTTTGGAGAATGCGGAATGCAGCGTTGGCTTGGTTCGACTGACGTGCGTGTGTGGGGGAATGCCGCTCAAGCTTGGTAGCTGGGGGGGAAGGGATGCGTCTCGACCTCGACACGTTTGGTGCGGGGAAAGGCCAAACGTAGGCGTGGTGGGATCTGCGATGACGGGGGAACGACGGAAGAACAGCGCGGGTATACCGGCAAAACCAGCGAGGACGATTGCGCGTACAAATCGCACGTCCTTGCGTCTATCGTATGCGTCCGTGTATGTCGATGTGATGGAATGATGATCTTCCGCGGCCGTACTGAAGGTTTCAAGATCACGCAAAACAAGATGTGCGTAGCGCTCACTTCTTAACACTTGTTAGCAACCCCCATCTTACCCCGGAGGCCCACTTACCCGAGCGCTGGCGCGCGTTCCTATGACACCTGCACCCACGCGCTCAGCCTCCACAGCCACGTCTTTTTTCGCCACTTCTTGATTACGCTCAAGGAAGCTTGGCTCGGCGTTCTAGATGCGTGATGGCGACGGCTGAAAAACGCCGAGCTGCAGCTTATCCATCCTTATCACGGTCCGATAGTCTTGTAGGATGTTGCATGTGTGTAAACTGGTCGGGTTGGTTGGGCTGAACGCTGGTTTGCAGCGTCAGCAATAGCGAACGATGATGAGCGCAGACACCAGCACAGCGGGAAACGGGAAAAAGCAATCAAGCAATAGATCTTATCGTTCCCAACATCGCCGCCCACAGTCCTCCAGTCTCAATCTCCAACAGAGCCCCAGCCTGCTCTTTCCCACTACGCACGCCTCACGATCCCCCAGCCGCTCATCGGCACAACCTTTTCTCGGCCTGCTCAGGCCATTTCCAAGACTACTGCTGGAGCTGCATCCCTGGGCTGACGTACCCCACCAACGCGCTAAATCCTTGGTGCGGTCTAGGCGCCGAGGCAGGACGCACTGTCTCGGTCTTGGTGTGAGTGGAGCGGAAAGGTTTGGCATGGCATGGCGGAGTGGGCAGGCTGTGGGGACATTGTGGGTCGGGCGGGCTGCGTGTTGCGCAAGCCTCCGAACAGACTTTGGGGGAAGGACGCCTGGAGGACTGTAAGCGACTCGTGCCGAGGCGGATTTGTGGTCGCGCTTGTCTCGTGATAGTTTGACTGCAATTCCTTTGGATTATAGTTTGGGTGGTTGGGTATGTGGTGGTGTGGATGGGCTGGACTCGCGTCGAGGTGCATGTTAGGTGCTGCTGCAGTGACGATACGCTTGAAGATCTAATTGGATGTCAGTATCAAATGCAGGCAAATGTGAAAATGTAGATGTGGATGGTAAAACTTCGTTGTTCAGTTCGTTGTGGTATCTAGATTACTATGTACATGCTGTATGACTATAACTGCCTTTTCATCGCAGCCATGATGGCAAGAGGTATCGCAATCGCGTGCTATGCAAACAACTTCAAACGCCTTATCCAGGACCAAGCCTGGCCCTAAACATTAAGAGCTCTCAAAGAGATTACTCGAAAGATATCATACTTCTTCGTGTCATTTCTTTGCTCATGCACTCGACTTCTTCTCGCCATCCTCGCCGTCAGTGCTGATAGCTGTGCTGAGGTATCGCTCAAACACGCGCGACTCCAGGTCGACGGAGCCCCTCCTGGCAACGCCATTCTTAGCATCGCGCTTCCTGAAGTACACGCGCTTGCCCCACTTCCAGGACTCGATGCCGAGGAAGAACAGGAATGTAGCGACGAAGACGATCGCCCATTCCCAGCTGATACCCTTGTGCCTGAAGACGGTGTCGTTGATGACGGGAATGTACAGGACAGGGAAGATGGTGACGAAAGCGAAGACGATGGAGAAGAAGAGGAACTTGTTGCGCCAGACGTCAATGGCCCATTGCGTGAAGTACTTCTTGGAGTTGGGCTGCATCATGAAGAACGAGCGGCGCATGTCCAACATTTGCCATGCCAGGAAGACGGAGAACCAGGTAAGGCAGGCGAAAGTAGTCGCACGAGCGCGGAAGACGGTGTCGCAAGTGTCGTTGAACGATTCGTTGCAGCCGTTTCCGAGGTTGCCATCTCCGAAGCCAAACATGACCAGGGAGAACGCGCCGAGACAGAGAGCGGCAATCCAAAGACCGTAAACGAACATGTCGAGGATGACCTCGATGGTGAAAACACCGCGCTTGAGCTGCGATTTGTTAGCATAAATGCAAAGAGTCAGTCACAGCAAGGGAAACTTACATTTTGAGGTGGGCGAGTGAGAATGTCTGGTGCAGCGACCTCGAAACCGAGACCCATGTCGGGAAGAGAGGAGGTAATCATGATGATCCACATGACTTCGACGGGAGACACTGGGAAGACTGAGAGTCCGCTCTCATCCTTGAATGCGAGACCAATGAGCAGAACGCAGGCTTGCGCAATGTTCTGAGCGAGTAGATGGAGAATGAACTTTTGGATATTGTCAAACATGCGGCGACCCTCCTCGATAGCGTTCAGGATAGAGGCGAAGTTGTCATCGGTCAAAACAATGTCGGAAGCGTCTTTGGCAACATCGGATCCAGTTCCCATACCGATACCAACATCTGAGCGCTTAAGGGACGGGGAGTCGTTCACACCGTCACCAGTCATACCAGTGAAGGCCTTGCGTCGGTGAAGGGCGTCGATCATGCGGACCTTGGTGTTCGGGGCGCAGCGGGCAATGACCAGAGGAAGTAGGGGAAGAGCGTCGATTTCGTCGTCGGAGAGCTTGTCGAACTGCGATGCAGTCATGACCATGGCATCTGCGGTTTCCTTGGGAAGAGTGTTCATGTTCGATGGCACAATACCGACTTCAATGGCGATTGCGCGAGCGGTACCAGGGTGATCACCAGTGAGCATGTGGACTTCGATACCAGCCTTCTGGCATTGGCGAACGGAGCCGGCAGTCTCGGGGCGGGGTGGGTCGTACAGTCCAACAAGACCGCGGAAGATCAAGCCATTCTCGATACTCTCGCGGTCAAGGTCCTGACCCTTCTCAGGTGATGGGCCATCGTACTCCTTGCTTGCGAGCGCCAAAACACGCAGACCCATGGAAGCCAAGGATTCCATGTTAGCCAAGATCTCTTCGCGGTAGTCGTCGTCAAGGTCAACACCAGATTCGCTCTCATCGTTGAATACGCGAGTGCAGGAGTAAATGACACGCTCAACAGCACCCTTGGTGAATACGTATTTCTTAGAGCTAGCGGTTTCCTCAAAGATAACGGACATCTTCTTGACATCGGAGTCGAAGGGGAACTCGGCAAGCTGCTTCCAGGCAGGTGTGTCACCACCGGTGTGTTCGAGACGGTTCCACTTGAAGCGAGAGGCAAAGACTTGGATAGCGATCTCCGTTGGGTCACCTCGTGCGTTCCATTGACCTTCGTCAGTCTGATGAACATGGGCCAGGTTGGCGAGCGAAGCAACCTTGAGGTAGTCGACCAGGTGCTCGTTGTCCTGTAGAAGCTCCTCCCATGTCTCTGTCTTCTCGTCAACATCAGGGTCGATATGGCGTGGCTGTTTGGGGTTGAACATCAGGGCGCCAACGGTGGGGTTGTGTGGCTCGTCGGACTGGCCAACGGAGTATGTGCCCTTAGCAGGGATCCATGCCTTCTTTGCAACCATCTTTCCTTGTGTGAGAGTACCAGTCTTGTCGGAGCAAATATCAGTGACACCACCAAGAGCCTCGAGCGACTTCAGGTTGCGAACAATGACGTGACGCTGCACCATGCGCTTTGTGCCGGCGGCCATTGTGATGGTCAAGACGACGGTAAGGGAGGCGGGAATCATACTGAGACCAGTGGCTACGGCGTAGATGATGACCTCGCTGTTGTTGGAGAAGCTGTTGGCGGCCAAAACGATGATTGCGCAGACGACGGCGACACCGAAAAGGAGGATGGCGAGACGAGCGAGCTTCTTCTGCAGGGGAGTACCGACGTTGACACCAAGGAAGTGGCCGACGGCATCGGCAGCAGTCAAAGACCATGCCTGGGCGTAGCGATGAGGTTTGGCTTTGCCATCAGGCTTGCGCTTGACTTCGCGGACGCGGGAACCCTTCTGTCGAAGAGACATGGCGATGGAACCGATCTCAGTGTACATTCCAGTAGCAAAGACGACACCACGGGCGCGTCCCTTGGTAACGGTCGAGGAGCTGTAGGCGACATTGAGGCGGTCACCAGGGCCGGTGTCCTCGTCGAAAACGGCATCGCCATCTTTGTTGACTGGGAGGGATTCGCCAGTAAGTAGAGCCTCGTCGGTTTCAAAGTTTAGGGCTTCGATGATACTGGATGCGAGTCAGTGACGAACAAACTAGTTTAGCGCAATTCAACGTACCGGATGTCAGCAGGGACAGTGTCACCTGTCTTTAGCTCAATCAAATCACCGGGAACAACCTCAATGGTTGGCACAGTAACAGTCTTTCCGTCTCGCGCAGCGGTGGCTGTTGGCGAAGAGAGTGATCGAAGCGAGTCCATTGTCTTTTCAGCATTGAACTCTTGGACGAAACCGATGATAACGTTGAGCAGAATGATGGCGGTTACTACACCACCCTCAATCCACGATTGAATAGCGAAGGACACAGCCATTGCAGCGATCAAGATCTGGAATTTGTTAGGATTGTTACATTGTGTGCTCATTGAGGTAACATACCAATGTCATTGCGTTGGCGACCTGCCTTAGCAGAATCTTGCCTGGTGATACACCTCCATCGTCGCCCAGATCGTTGTTGCCGTACTTCTCATGTCTCGACTTTGCTTCCGCAGTAGTCAGACCGTCTTCGTCGTTACACTTGATCTCGGCGACGACGTCCTTCCATGGGAGGGCATGTGCGGGTTTGGAGAGAGGCTCGTTAGCCTGGCCGGACTTGTGGCCCTCGAGAGACGGTGCCTTCTTGCCCATGGTGAGTGATTTCTGGTGCTAAGAAGTGAATGGGATGCAGACAAAAGATCTAGATCCGGGGACATGGCAGACTTTAAACAAGCAAGTTGGCACGCGGGTGCACACACCATGAGAGCAGCCAAGAACCGTGCGATATCGAGAGCTTGGCGTGATGGTGACTATCTTGGGACCGGTGCAGGGAACGTCATCGTCGGTAACGGTCGGCACTCGTCAACAAAGAGATGCATGCATGTCCGCAAACGTTTGGTTGTCAGGCCTCTGGATATACTGGATGGCACATCTGACCCTATCTGCCTTTTACCACACTGCACAACAGCATCATCGAGTAACGTTGAGACGATTGAGCGGCAGATGCCATCCCAAAGTGCTGTGAGTAGTGCCGGGCATGACGACAGCGGGGTTGGTAACACCCGTTCACCAGCACTGCGAGCGGGGATGAGTGAAAAGAGGTGGCGAGCTGTTCGGTCCCAGCCAAGCATCCCGCTCGCCTACGATCCGCCTAGCCGTGCTAATTTCTCGGCGCAGGCGTAATTGTGCCGACTTCCGTACCGAAGCCACAACACCAACGTCATTTTGCGCCAGATTCCAAGCACGCTGCCATCGACTACAGATGCTCAAGCCACTTACCTTCACGGACACCCTTGCGCCAAGCCTCGATTCTCTCGTATCGCTCCAGGCGCCCAACACCTTTCCGAGCGTCCTCCGTGGAACCTGCTGAGGTCGTCACGCCGCATGCTAACGGCGAAGCTTAACACCAACATGACAAGGCGTATTTCGCCTGGATATCCCCACTGAGACGGGCCCAAGCCAGCCTCTTGTCGCTCTTATCTGTCACCGGTGGCTTGACTGCAGCGCCGAGCTTTCCGTCGCGGGTCACGAGACTCAACAATCATTCCTGCAACAAGCACCAAGGTCCGCTTACTCCACACCTTCCATCTTGATTACGGAAGGTTCTAGTCGCAAGCTAGATCGGTCGTAATACTTGCGTTTATAACGTGCTCAGCTGCTTTGCCATGGTATCACGAAGGCAGAATCCGGTACACTGTGAGCACAATAACTTCAATTGCCGTCATGGAGATATCATGTACCAGGGAAAATTTGCATCCATTTGACAGCCGTAATGGCCTCAACTCAACTACATGCGCATAAAAGTGGGCTTACCCCACTTCTACCACGATTCAGACAAGCACGCAAGAAATGGGTCTCTTGGATATCCCACGCCTTGGCATGCCTCACGCCATTTCCCTGCCGCGGTCTAGTCTAAGCATCCCAGTCCTCCGAGCACCCATCGGAGAACCAAACCTTGTCGCTTGTATGTCTGTCTGACATTTCAACGGTGATGCGCTCTTTCACAGCGCGATCGAGGCTCTTTACTACCTCATCTCCTTCAGCTGAAAGCGAGAAGCCGCCGGTGAGATGCTCAGCTACATTATCGGTGGTGTACCTGCCGGGTTGGTATATATTGTTGAAACGGGAGTGGTATTGAGAGAGTCTGGCGAATCGAACGCTTGTCAGGCAAGGAGACATCGTCAACTGCTTGAAGATCGTAAACCAGGTTGCATCTTTTAGCTCGACGAGTCCCGGTTTCAGCTTTCGTCCATTGACCTCTTGAACCACTCCATCCTCGTCGGAATCAGAATCTTCGACATCCGCAAAGTCGGAGGGCTCAAACGCATCTTCGTCGTCAAACCAACCATACAGATTCCCGCCACAAAGGTGAAGGCTCTGCAGGGTTCTTCGGTGCTTGAACAGAACCCTCTTGAAAAGAGGTGATGCTATCGGACTACTACGGATGTCGAGGTGCGTGAGAGTAGGGAACTGGGTCCATCGAAGGAAGGTGGGCACATTCTCGCTACACAACGTAAGCGACCTGAGATTACCGCTGACGGACTGCAGCAACCCCATGATCCACCACTTCTCAAAGACTTCGAATGTCCGGATGAACTTCAATTGTGTAACACGGTGCTGAACACGTGTCCAATCGGAGCTCGAGATATCGAACGGTTGTTTCTCGTAACGCAGTACCATCGTATTCAGTGCGACTTCCAGAGTCCAGTCTTTGCGATCTTCGATACCTCGCAGCGCCGAGAGCACTTTGTCAATGTGGCCATGTAGTTTACCGCGGCAGGAGTCTCCTTCGTTGCGGAGTGCCCATTGAGGGCTAGCCCAATATCCGCAGGCTCCCCAGCCCATCTCGCGGAGGATGCGCTTCGAGCCCCAAGCCTCAGTCCAGGCAGCAGCATCATCGTCTTTCTTCGGGTAAGAGTCTTTCGGGTAAGAGTCAATGCGTACATGCTTCAAGTTCGGGAAACCTCGCAGTGCCGACTTCAACATCTCCACTGCTTCGTCGCTGGCATCGAACTCTTCCTGCTCTTTAACAAGCTTTTCGTGCTTTGGCCCATACGTCCTGGGCCAGTCTTCCTCCTGATCTCTAGATCTACAATTCTTTAGCTTCCAAAAAGCCATGTATCCGTTCACGTGCTCAGGTCCGATAGCCACTTCCTCAACGTAATTTCTGAAAACAGGATCGGTGGAGATGCTCAGAAGGCATTGGAGACTGGCGCGGGACAGCATATGTTTTCGCGTAGAGAAACAGCGTTTTGTCCAACCGTCATATGACGTTTCTTTTATGCGCCGGCTCGTAGAGCGGAGATTGCACAGGTCGTCGCCAGAAAGAATGGCCTTGCCTTTGGCGTCTGTGCTTTGCGTTACTAATGTCATCAACTCGACGGGTAGAGCTTCTAGGCCTGGCTTTGGAGACGTTGTAGCTGCTGTGGATAAATTGAGGGTCTGGAGCTCCTCGGAGAGAGCCTCTGGATCTTGCTGTGGAGATGCCATAACTATAGGTATACTGGAATGCGTTGGTGGGTATGAATGGGTTGCGTCAATGTCGTGGTTGTAGTGATCAGGTTGATCAACACTTCCTGTGGGGAGGAGGGAAAAGTCTGAAGAGCTTTGAAAGGTAAACTTTTGAAGGGTTCGAAAAGGGTACGAGTGTTGAGGGAACACAGCTGGAACGCCGCTACCGAAGCAATGTGAATGCAACGACTTCACAGTCGCTTCGCCTCACAACATGCCTAAGAGGAAGATTTGCGCAGAATACGCTATGAAGGAAAACATCAGGAAATTAACACAGTCTTCTTCACACTGTTACTGCTAGGATAGTGAAATGCCATATTCATGCTTTTGAGATATCTCAGAGTCTCCCCTCGACATAGTAGCCTATAGCCACGTGCAAATATATCCGCAACAAGCCTTGCCACGCTTTCAATGGCCGCTGCTGACGCTACTTGAGTGAAACCCAGAATCGATCGAGTTGAGCCGACGCCTCTATCATTCGTAGAGCACGGTAGTGCTTGCTTCCCACAGGATGGCTAGTTCTGCGGGGGTGTATTGAGCATCAGGATCGACTTCGACTGCGTTTCCACTGTCTGCTTGCCCTTTGAGAACGACTACCGGTGGGTCTAGCTCCGAGTCGTCACCAGGAGTGGGGTTAAACACCGTACCTAGACATATATCATTAGCCAGATCCACCCCACGACCATCGTATCCAAAGCTCACCACGATACGAAGGACCAAAAGTCCTATCCATCCACGCAACTGCATCCCAAGCCCGGAGATCATAGTCGTCCCATGTCGGCCTCCAGCAACACTGTGGAACATCGATACTCCACTCAATACCCATCGAGGAAAGCACGTCCAGCGCAGAGTGCGGATACGAAGTAAACGCAAAGTCGACATATGAGCCTCCAATCCAGCTTGAACACGCGATACCAATATGCTCCAGCACAGGAAGCTGTTTCCGATAGTAAGACAAGGTGGTGAGCCAGTCAAGGAATGCCAGCTCTGGAAAATGGACCTTCAAGGTCTCAAGAGTTGGGGGCAGCATCTCATCCGCCGGTTGCTGGATATGCGCCCATTGTGGCTCACCTCGTCCGAATAGGCACTGATAAGGTACCAAAAGATGCTTGAGCGCCTTGAAAACAAGGAAGCAATCTCCGGGTAATACGTGGTCTAGAAAGCTGGTGTCCTCCTCACTGCAGTGAGTGGATGCGTCTAGTTCCAGCCTTGTTAAGACAGGCGCCACTGACATGAGCTTCTGGAATAAGACAGTATAGCTACCCTGATCGTCGCGATCGAGATTGAAGTGTGAACGGGGTCCGGCTACTCCTTCGTCGGCATCGTTGAAAGGCATACGCAGAGTTTCCAAGCGAGGGAAGTGTGCGAGGAAGGGAGACAAGGCGTCGTAGTGGCTACAAGCTGGATTGAGAACGGCGGATTGTACCGGGAATGTGAGAGATTTGACAGCAGCATTATCCGCAGAAGAGTCTCCGTCGGCCAGGATGTAGCTGGCACGAGTGAGAACAATATCCTCTAGAACTGGGGACTTGGCGAGTACCCAATGGAACTCAGTGCCTTCGAATTTGAGGCTTTGTAGCTTTTGTAGTCCAGGGAATGTCGTGAGATGTGCTGTGCGATTATCGAAATGGGAGATGAGTTTGCTCAAACACTTGGGAACGAGCCTGGGCCTGCCATCGTCGTCCTCGTCGGCATGTACAATCGACAAGCTAAGGAATTCGAGCTCGGTCATTTGCCAGAAGATAAGAGCGCAAGCGATGCGAGTTTCTTCTATTTCTGCTCGGATGGTAGAGGGGAACATTGCGCCCTGTGGTACAACACCAAGCGTGGGAACCTCGATACTCATCATGCAATCAACGACTTTGATGACGAGATATTCAGTCTTCCTGGACAGATCCGGCCGCGACTGGATTGTCCGGTAGAATGGCCATAGATCTCCCGCGAAGCCCCAGCCTAGGACCACGTCGCGATATAGCTGTCGTTCGACAAGCGCGCGCAGCTCAGGGCTTATGCATGCGATGCCGGGAAGACGGAAGTGCGAGGAATGATCGATGACGGACTGAAGAAGCTCTGTGGGTAGTCTTCCTAGACGACTATCAGCATATGGAAGAGCGCTGCCCATAGCCTCGTCATGGCCTGGTGGTGAGGTTGTTTCCATTGCCATGAACCGCGCAGCTATCCACTTTCCCGATCAGGTGGTGTCAGTAGTAGGGTGTTCGATAAAGTGGCGTATACATATAAGACGTAGGAAGTGAGGTGAGAACGATACTATCCCTTTTTAGACTAAGCGCGGTGCAGGTAAGAGAAAAGGCTGCTTCACCTTCACTACTTGATGTAGGCAAATACTTCGGTTGCCATCCACTTCACCCAGTGGTACTGCGATAATACAGAGCGAGACGAGCCACTCATGACTCCCGCAATACATCAACCACATACGCAAAGGTACCCCTCATCAAATAAGAGAGATCGCAATCCTCATACTCTTTGATGTAGGCAACAGTACACTCATCCCGCTCAACATGCTGTATGATATAGAGATGAGCATTTGTGCATTGGCGAATCGAAGGCCGTCTATTCATGGACATCCTGGAATCGTCCCGGCACCGCGACAATATGACCTATTCAGGCAATGCCCTTTCTTGTATGGCCTGATACAAACGCTGCTCCACAGCAGTGCTGTTAAAGAAAATTGCCGCGTCTTCGCGTGACCACGACACGTTCACAGACGCCGGAATCTGGTTTATAAACCATCTGCCAAAGCGCTCCAATTTCTCGTATTGAATCCGCTGTGATTCCAGACCTTTAGGATTCGTAGACCCTGCCGCACTTAAACGGTAGATATCATTCTTGATGAAGGTGATACGGATACGTTCAAGCTTGAGTGCGTAGTATATGCGGCCCATGGGGTTCATCCATGATTCTGAGGGGTAGCTCTCGCCGCACATATGTTTACAGAACTGGAATTCCAGCTCTTTCAGAAGCTGCAGGGCAGTCGGGTTTATTGTAGTTGCCATGTGTAAACCCTTGAGGCCGTGGTCATATTTGATTGCGAGTTCTTTGTCCATGAGGCCGGGTCCCACTTGAATGAACATTCTTCTGTTCCCGTAGAAGAGCTTCCTAACTTCATTGTGTAACTGCCTGTTGGTTCGCATGATGTTGAGGCGTGGACGCGTGACGTGTTGACGTGAAGGGTCAAGGTCGATGCGAGGCCCGGGGGGAAGAAGGAATGAGTATGTGTGGAGGCGGAGCTCAGCGGGAAGTCGGAGGAAGGGAAAGGGTTTGGCTATTCCATATCAGTAGGGTCAGAGTATGTGGTCCCTTCTGTACATACCTCTTTCCTCAAGTATGGCAAAGGCGCTTTCGAGGTTGGTTTCGCAGGCAATGTCAATATCTCGTAGTAGAGGACGTATCTCTGAGAATGTGGGTGTTGGCCCCTCCCACCCGGATAGCTTGTATTTGTTAGCATAGGGCCTGCCTTGCAGGACGTTCTTGTATGCTTCAGCATAAGCATCGGCAGTGGCGCGCGGCCCCGTGAGGCCTTTTACTACGAGGTAGAACCTCTCCGAGCCAGCGACGTAGACGGATCCTCCAGATGGGTTTGCTTTACAGGCATCGTCAACATTGGTAATATCATCTTCGCTAGGACTATGTGGCCGTATGCTCGATATGGCGCGATCGAGAGCTTGTAGCTTTAGCTTCAGATGACCAGCATCTGCGAGAGAAAAGCGCTCCGTGTCCGTAGAGGGGCTAGGCAGAGTCGGCCGCACGATGAGTTGTCGGGCGTTCAGATCGTGGATGGTGCGAACGACCATGGTGTTGAGGGGTGGCGGTGTGGTGATGCCGTCGACGCGCGACGCGAATGGAAGAGCAGTCGGCTGCCCCGCGCGTTAGCCAGTGATGTAACTAGCCGCTCCGGCCATGCTGCGGCCCTGAAATCAGAAGCACATGCAAGACACCAGCGAGCCCATGCAATCCCATGTTTCTGACACCTGCCACCGCCCCATGACTGTATAACATGCCTCGTCCCGCCATTACCCTCTGAGTCCCTCTCCAACGCCAACACGTTTCCTCGACGCGTCCATCTTCGCGTGCTTTGCCGATCGCCCCGCCCGAGGCCGCTGGCTCCACCCTTCCAAGCTTCACGATACCACACAAAGTCCTGGCTGAGCAAGCTGCGCGTTGGCGGCGACGCCCCTCCAGTCGACAGAATGGCTGCCCCGGATAACAAGCAGGGCTTTCTCTCCAATCTATCCCCATGGCCTTCACGCGCCGGCACTCCCAAGCCCCCGGCGACTCCCAAGGCCGAGGGGAGCGCGGACAAGGCGAAGAAGGCTGAGCAGGAGAAGGAGAAGGATAGAGCTGCGGCAGTGCTGGCTCCCCAGCAGGGAGGGGACCATGTGATTGATCGGAGGTACAGGCTGAGTCTCAAGCGGTACCCCAAGGACTGTCCTCCGCTGGCCGTAAGGTGGTTTCATGCTATAGATGTAAGTAGTCAATATACACCTTTGGGCTTTCGTCATCTCCACAGCGCTCCTGCCTTCCGTTGCGGCACTGACTTTGGCAGACGCCCAAGCGCAAACCTCTCTCGAAACATGCCATGGCCCCAGACACGGCCCTGCCCAAACCCAAGAAATGGATACCCTTCGGCGCCAGCGACTCTCGCGCCATCGAGGCCGCCTTCCAGAAGACTGCCGACGAAGCTGATGCCGACGAACTGCGAAAGGGCATCATCAGCCCCACGACGCCCACCCAAGCGAGCGCGACTCCTCCCAAAACCACAAAGGTGCCCGTCAACGAAGACTACCTGTTCGATGTCGAGATCGAGACACGCGAGCTGGCGCCTTCATACTGGCTGGGTCCTGTATACGATGTGAAGCGAGGGACCTGGTTCACACCGGATGGGGAGGCTGTCGATGAAGGTCTAGCCATGCAGCTCGAGGAAGGCTACCTGAAAGTCAAGCCATGGAAGTTCGGGAAGCCGGAAGAGAAGCGAGCAGTTTCGCAACCCCGCGCTCGGCCGCTCTCTATGGGCCCAAGTGCTGGCGAGGACCACCGCAAAGAGCTGGCCAGGCTGAATCGCGATTCGACATCCAACCCAGTCACGCCCAAGTCGTCATATGATAATCTACAAAAAGAGGCTTCAAAACAGTCGAATGATTCCAACCACAGCGATGCATCTACAACCTCCAATGCGCCCGCCGACTTACCGCGCACACACCGACTGTTCGGCGCACATCTGAACTCCACCGTTACCTATCAAGACGAGACGACAGCCTGGATGTTGACTGATGACATGTGGTCGCGCATGGGCAGTACCCTGTATCAGCGCTTCGCTGGAGGAGCGCATTATGCTGGGTACAAATACATCCGAGGGTACACTGATCCCAAAGAAAAGAAAAAACAACCGACACCAGGGAAGGGCCCTCAAAGCGCAAAACTGGAGGATCGGCCGGCTACACCCGCCCTGGCATATGGTTCAGATCACGGCAAGCAGTCGGACTCTGACGCCGACGGAGAAGCGTCGGAAAATGAACGAAGCATGTCGCCTTCCCAAACGCGCAGGCGCAATCTCGAACGACAGGTCTCGTCACTGATGACATCCTCGAAACCAGAATATGAGCAACAACAAGAAGAGGAAATGCGAAAGCGTGAGGAGAAAGAGATGCGTGAAGACTACAAAACCCAGCATGGCAGTGATCAAGACCGTGATATTGAGCATCTGCTCCTAGTAACACATGGCATTGGACAACGTCTCGGAATGCGAATGGAGTCCATTAACTTCATTCACGACGTCAACACGTTGCGCAAGTCCCTCAAGTCTGTCTACTCAGCTTCGCCGGACCTGCAAGCCCTGAATGCGGAAACGGACTCGGAGACCAAGAACAACCGCATACAAGTCATCCCCATCATTTGGCGGCACTTATTGGACTTCCCTAAGCAAAGCTTGAAGCACAACCGCAAAGAACACGACCTAGGCGATCTCGACCACGAAGATGAAGAGTATCCTAATCTCGAGGACATAACCGTTGAAGGTGAGTTAAGCGATCTGGTCCTGAGCCAAAACAGATACTAACAATACAGGCGTTCCCGCTGTTCGCAATTTCCTCACTGATCTTGCGCTTGACATCTTGCTGTATCAAAGCCCCGCTTACAAGGGTCATATATCTCGCATCGTCGTTAACGAGGGTAAAGTAGCCGTCACGAATAGCTCTCAAGATGTCTTGCTAACTTATCAATAGTATGTAGCTCCCTTGCGGTGCTAAGACATCTTACTATTCGTGCTAACAGCTTGATAGCTAAACCGCACCTACCGCCTATTCAAGGAGCGCAACCCATCTTTCAAAGGCAAAGTGAGCTTAGTCGGGCACTCGCTCGGGTCTGCCATCATGTTCGATATTTTATGCATCCAAAAAGACCCAAAAGCCAAACCAAGCACACAATCGGCCAAACAGCGAAGATCTACCGAAGAAGGCCTGAAGCTGGACTTTGAGGTAGAGGACTTCTATGCTCTTGGATCGCCTATTGGCCTGTTTCAGATGCTCAAGGGGCGTACCATCGTTGGGCGACCGCAGAATTCTACCACTGGATTTGTTCCACCAAAGACGCCTGCGACATCGATTGATGACCCCTTCTCACAAGGCGGAGACGAGCATGCGTTCGACATCACGACTTCGTCGCCTCTCTGCAAGCAAGTTTTCAACATCTTCCATCCGACCGATCCGATCAGTTATCGCATCGAGCCGTTGATATCGCCAGCGATGTCAGCCCTTAAGGCTCAGCCTCTACCTTATACCAAAAAGGGCATCTTCGGTGCGCCTGCATCGCAAGGCTTTACTGGCATTGGACAGCGCGTTGGCCAGGGTGTGACAGACTTTTGGACTTCTCTAGGATCTGGTAAGTTCAGATCGCCTCTGACTACCTGCCATATATGTTACCATGAGCTATCTGCTGACAACACATGCGCTAGGTATCGCCAGTGGACTTCTCAACCGCAGTCTTGGCATATCAGGGACAGAAATGACAGGCGCAGGCAACAATACACAAGGACAGCGCACATCTCGACCCCTCACCGCCGCGGCGCCCGCCCCAAACAGCGCTGTAAATCTCGTGCCAGGACTCAACGAGCCTACCAGTGCCTTCATCAGCGAAGAGCGTCGCCGCCGCCTCGGACAAGAAACCATTGCCGAGGGCACAGACGGCGAACACCCTCCGACGCTTATCGAAGGCGACATTGAGACACTCTTTGCTGGTTTCCAAAAGCGAAGAGCGAGCCAGCAAAGTGAAGATGGCGAGCGAGACGTAGAAAAAGATCTCGAATGGCAGGAGCTAGAAGAACGAAGTCGTAAGCTTAAAAAGGAGGAAGCTAAAGTCCGAGCACTGAACAGTAACGGTCGTGTGGATTACAGTATACAAGAAGGCGTAAGTGACAACATCCTCTCCATGTGTAGCTCACGGTTCTAACATTGCAACAGGCTTTTGATATCTCGCTACTGGCTAGTATAGCGAGTCACATGACATATTGGGCTGACGAGGATGTTTCGCATTTCATGATCTCGCAACTTTTGGCGAGACATCGTGTTTTTAAGCCGAAGGAGTGAGTTTTGCTCGAAGACTAGGCAGTAGATTGATGATATACCCTGAATAGATTCCTGACATCTTCGATGACGGCTGCGAATACTACGATAGTGAGTATCATGGGATGACTTATATGGTCTGACCTGTCTGTGTTGTTCTGAAGTTGTTATCTTGGGCTAATGCACCCTTCCGCCGGTGATCATTCTAGAGACGACAGGGCATTTCTCCGCCAGGTGTTTGCTGCAACTCGCGGACGTGCGTTTGCTATGCGCGCAGTCTTCTTTGTTTGTTTTCCTTACCCAAATAGGGCAGTGCGCGCTTTCCTTACTTTCACGCCTCGGAATTCGCATTGGGAAGCGCGTCGCACAGACTTTTCGAGTAGCATCATCTCACTGACCGCGAATAAGGCAGTCGCGACATCGACCCGCACAGCCACCTCTCCACCCGCACCCGCAACCATGGCCACTCCAACAACAACCAATTCGACAACCGCACCCGCTACCACTACCGCCACTACGCTCAATTTCCTTTGTCGCATCAGAACGCGAGTCGTAGATTTCTTCCTCCCCGAAAATATCCGCCAAGAATATCGCAGGATTATCGCGCCCCTAGCCAAATACAGATATGCATTCGTTGCACTTGTCGCCAGTACTCTGTTTGCGATCGCAGAGTACGAGCAGCCCCGGTACTTCCCCAGACCCCAAGAGTTGACCAACGCCGTGGTATGTACGTCGAGGAAGCTGCCTGGAAGACATTACTAACGGCTTGTAGATCGGCTTCCTGTGTGCGAGCATGTTGATCTTCGCTGCGTTCGCGTTGATGGAATACACCGAGACGCACACCTGGCCTTGGGAAGACGAGGGCTTCGTGTGGCCGTGGCAAGCGCTGCTGTGGAGTCAGACTGCATACGTCGATGAGACGATGGGAGAGAGCGTCGCTGCGTATCGCAACATGAACATGATGGCGCCCTCGATCCGGGTAGATGGAGGTGAAGAATCTGTGGTACTGGAGGAGACTGCATCTTGGAACGGCAGTACCAGATCCATGGCTGATTCTACACTCGGCTCTACTACCCCGGCTGGCTCACCCGCTCGACCCGACATCGTCATCCCGCCTACGCCCTTGCTGCCTGGTGGCCTTCGACCCATTCATCTTCCACCACCGCCGGTGCATCATTCTGGTCTCTTGGGGGAGTCGCCGGCGCCGATCAAGTTCAAACACTTCAGCGGGCACCTGA